TTTTTTTTTTTAAGTGTAGAGGTTCTTTTGTTAATTGTGTATGTTAAGAATGTTAAATATCCTTACTCAAAAATCATTTTTTTGGAATAATTTATATTAAAGTTTACAAATACAAAGATAAAAAACTAATGCAAAGTAAGAAAAATATAAAAAGAAAAATGCAAAACAGAGAAAAAAAGGAAAAAGATATATAAAGAAATGACTCCCCCCTCCCTCAAGTACAAACAGTAACTTATCACCTTCTCTGATATTTCAGTAAAAATCTCTTCTTCCATAACTCATCTCTTATCAATAAACAAATTATAAAATCCCATCATTCAGTCCTAATCAGCAAAAGTCCATTAAGAGTTACCAGAAATAACATACATATTTTAACCTTAATCAAATAAATCAATTTCATATTCCTTTCCTTTATTTTTAACCCAGTGACTTATCACTTTCTCTAAAAATACAGCAAAAAAGAAAAAAATCTTCCCATATCTAATCTGTTATCTATAAACATATCTTTAAAGCCTAGTCATTTGGTCCTAGCAAAAAAAAAATCATTAAGAACTACCAAAAACAAAAAACATATATATTTTAACTATGATCAAATAAATCCACTTTGTATGCCTTGTTTACTTTTAAGAAGTGATATTTAATCCCTTCAAATAGTGTCCCACGCGTTGATTTATCGTTTTGTCTGTCTCCTCTCAGAAACTCCTTCACAAGTTCACAAGTTTAAGACGTCTCTTTTGTAAATCCAAGATAAAGCTATCCAAGTCACTCTTCTGATTTATCATTTGTATGTCCCCATTAATTACTAAGACATCGGCCGATTTCATTTGTAAATCTGGTGTAACTTCATTTTCTGTATTTCTTTTTGTAGTCTGACAATTTAAAATCCATTTTCAGATCCACATTCAAATCAGCCTCAGTCTCCGTTTTGTCCAGTAAAATCTGCTCTTCTTCCATTTCTTTTGAATCCATTTTTATACTAGCAGACATTCTGAAGAATAATTTTTGAATGCATTGCTCCCGAATATCCTTGAATTCTTCCACAGTCAAATAATATTACTCCATTTTATATTAATAGGTCTCTTCTTCTTTAATTATAATCTTCAGCTCTCTCTGGTTCTCGCTAGTCAACCTTCAAAGTCCCCTATCATGTTTTTTTTTTTTCCTAAACAACACTTTCCCATGGGAAAATTTCTTGCAGTTGATTTCAAAATCTTAATTTTTTTTTAATAAAAATTTAAACCATCCACAAGACGTATTTTAATTAATTTCAAAAACTTTTCAAGTCCATCTGGTCCCTTAATCTGTTCCAAAATCAAGTCACCCTTTTGCTGTTTATTCAAAAGTAGTTTTTCCTTTTAAAAGCCTTAAACTTGCATAAAACTTCATCCAGAATAGAAGGAAACTCACTAGGTGTAGTGAAACTTGCCCTTTTGAAGGTCCTTAACATGCAAAAAGCCATTAACAAGCAATTTCCTAAAGTGGTTAAGAGAGGAAGTGGGCAAACTCAGTGTCCATAGGCAAGATTACTTTCTCCCAGCTCTCAGAACTCTAAAACCTGGCGCAGACCGTTGTCTTATGGTCTCTCATGGGGAGCCTCTGTATGGAGCACGTGTGGACGATCCTGGTCTTCTCCTTGCTCTGGAGAGGAATTCCGAGGAGCTGATCTATTTACCAGCTCCTCTTTCTGCCAAGGCTGTTGGCTCCATGTTCAGTCTGCCATTGCTTCTCTGGAAGTCCCACTTACTCCAAAACCTAACTTGATTCAAAAGCATTTGCTTCCAAGGCATGTGTTATGTCAAACTGAGAACATATGGATCATGACTTCATTGCATAAATTACGATTGTATAATTTGCATCAGTGACTTCATGATATCTGACGCGAGTATGTCAACTATATCATTTGCATGGTGATACCACCATACACATGCCATGGGTTCCCCTGTAGATGCCTTTTTTAAGAGTATGAAGAAAATAAACCCACAACAAGAACACAGCACCCAAACATCACTTTTTCCCCCCCTACGAAGATATGTAGGTGTGAGAGTACTCTCACTCAACTGGATTTAAACCAGTGATGGCGAACCTTTTGGGCTTGGCATGTCAAAAATTTGGAAAATGCCTAACTTGACTCTGCTGGCGTGTCACACCACCACTCCCCAAAGAAAAGAGAAACAATTCTTTACATATTTATTTATTTATTTTTTTAAAAAACACAGTCCAATCATGTGTGGTGCTATGCATTATAGAAAGAAATGTCAAATAATTACAAAAATGAATACAAGTAAAACAAACTCAGTTTCCCTGGTAACTCAAACAGGGAGAAGAGTTGTTGTCAGGTGTTGGTGAATGCTGGCATGTCACCCAAAACGTCATGGCGTGTTATCTTTGACACGCATATCATAGGTTTGCCATCACTGGTTTAAACTATGCAGTGTCTCCCCTCTATAAAATAGAGTTGTTGGCTAAGCCCACTCAATACATTCGCCTGCAAAGAAATATAACCTAGCACAACGCATGAGCCCATCTGATATCTGATGCCCTTTCCAAGAAGATCAGATCTTTGCCTGTTGACTGGCTGCCTATGATAAGCAAAGGCGACGTAAGAACATGCTGAAACCAAGGCAACCTATCAAAGTGCATCTCTTATGTTGCCTTTGCTTACCCCACAACATGGGATAAGCAACTGGGAAATGAGCAGATGTGAGACAGCTGACCCTCATGTAATAATTTGTTATCACTTCATAGTTTCCTATGTAAATACTGTGCAAACTGTTTAACCCAATGAAAGCAGGGGCTTATATCATGTCAAAAGGGGTCCAGTGACAAAGTATGACATATATCACAGTAATGACATCTTTCCCATCCTTTGAGAACATTACCATAGATAAAGTATGCAGTAGGGCATATTCATGAGTCACGAGTGGAGTCAACAGAATAAACACAGCCGTAGGTATTATGCATTTTATTAGAATGGGTAATATCCAAGATTCCGTACTATTAAGTGATTCAAATGCTCAAGCAGACAAGAGCAGTTTCAGACGATCCTTCAGAGATACCACATGGAAAGGACTCAGCAGCGCAACATCCTGAGAAGGGGAGCAACTGGCAGACAGAAGATCATCAGATTTTGCCTGGGAATGTGCCATTTTCCCGAAGTTCATCCCAGTTGTCAACCTGCAAAAGACCAGCACGTTTCTTTGATCACTGTTTCTCAATAAGAGTTACGTGGTTAGAATTGTAATTCTTCAGCACAATTATGCTTCTCCATTTCTAAAAAAAGACACCAGATTTTTACTCCTCGTGATAATGGAAGTAGTTCTGCTTTGATTGCCTCGGCTTTATTTAAGAAAGTGCCTGGCAGAAGATTCTACTGCTTGCGAGATGATGCCTCAACTTCCTACATTAGCTTTAGTATCCCGTATTTTTTAAAGTAAGAGTCTCACAGAGGTCTCTACATTAAGCTACAGAAGGATATCAGCAGGTTATTTCAGTGTCAATGTGCATGTCATGCGGGTTTAACTATTCAGAATCTCATTCAAGACACAGAGTAAATGATGACACAAAAATTGTCATTGTTCTAGACATGTTCACTATTTAAAAAGTGGCATCAGAGAAGGCTTTGCTATACAGGCAGTCCCTGGATTAAGAACAAGTTCCTTTCCTAAGCCTGTCTTTAACTCGAATTTGTATGTAAGTCGGAACTCATACTTACAAATGGGCTGCCTGTTACTGAAAAGGGGAGACAGCGTTCTCCTTACTTGAGCCAACAAATCACTGAAGCCATGCAATGTTTTCTTGAACTGTTGAAAACCACTGAAAACAGACCGTATATTAAAAACATGTGGCTTCAGCAGTTCATAAAAACATTGCGTGGCTTCAACGATTCATCAGCTCAAGGAAGGAGAACGCCATCTGCCATTTTTAGTACCAGGCAGCCTGTTCATAAGTATGAGTAGTCCATAACTCAGACATTCCTAACCCAGGGACTGCCAGTATAAAATTATATAGCCCTTTTTAAGACAGTGGGATTCAGGTTTTCTGAGATAGAAACAGCAAGCTCCATTTATAATCTTTTGTTGCCCTCCACTTATTCACTACTACTACTTGATCCTTAGGCTGGCTAGGTTGAGTGCTTTTTATGATTCTCTGGCTGCTCTGTGTTTTATTTCAAATCAACTCAATCAATCGAGAAAACATCAAACTCACCAATAACCCTGAACTGTCTTCTTCAGACTGGTGGCCTCCCAGATGCCAAGCCCTTTAGAATGTTCTAGACCTCTACAGAGAGTCCTTAATATGGAACATTCAAACACTGTTTTGTAAATGTGTAAAGGAATTGCAGTTATGGGACATACTGTCAGGTTTCTCCCAAAGATCTGAGACTAGAAACTGGCACAAGCAGGCTTACAAGAACACCAAGCTTCTGATATGAACATTTATTATAGAAAAGCAACTTTACAAATGCCAGTGACTATGTATGAAATGCAAGCCCTATTTATAGTGTAATCAAGGTTTACAATCTTGCATTTTTTTTTCCTTGTCCATCAGCATAACAGGTTTAAAGCCATTCTTATTTGGGCAAGAGGGATGGGTTCCACCCTTCTTTCAGTAACAGATCAGTCTGGGTTTTGGTTATCGCTTCTGATCTTGTGAGAATGGATCCTGCATACACTGTTTCGTATATCCAATATTGTTCAAGACTGAGCAACCCTGTCTTTTGTCCTCTATAATTAGACACATGGGAAGTATCTTGAGTTCAAAATGTTCCAGCCTTGAAAAGAATGGGTTGAGCATAATGGAAACAGTCTCACTTAAAAAAAAAAAAAAAAGCAATTTTGATCTCCATCCTGAGGTTGGTTAATATTTTCAGCAGACTCTGAACAGTCAAGTTTTGAAACTTTTTGTGCATCTTAGTTTATAATGCTGAAGTTAAAAAGTTTCCATCACTGCCACTATGATTCTCCAGACTAAAAAAATCTTACATTGAAACCCTACTTCTATACATTTTTATTACAGGATTATTACATTTTAGTTGCCTTAAGCCACTGTGAACAAAGCAAATGAGGGGTAAGAGAGGGGTAAGAAATATTTTGAATACAATTCTGAATGGAGTTTTTGGGGGGCATGCATAACCATGGGGTAGACAGCCAAGTTCTCCCAGATGTGCTAGAACTACAACTCCCATGATCAATGGTGAGGGATTATCGTGTTGTACTCTAAAGTATTTTGGTCAGCAGATTGCCTGACCCCTTCATAGCTGTACCACTGAAGAGGGAGAAATCCTTTACTGAATATCTTCCTTTGCTCCAAACTGGTTTCCTGTACAAAAATAATTTAGCCAAGCTTATGTCATTTACTTACCCAAAAAGAAGGGCACAGGGATTGGTATACTTTTTTGTACCACAGGCAGACATAGGGATCGCTGCCTTTGGCATTCATAGCTTTCTCACACCGATGGAAATCTGCCAGAAAAAAAAAAAGTTTCAAGCCAATGATGGAGCAGAATGCATCAGTTCCAGAACAAAAAACAGAAGAGTCCCTAAACAGACCTGTGTGTATGCTTGAAGAATTATAAGACTGTATTACCCAACATTTGGGTCTGCAAAATAAAAAAAAGAACCTCCCTGTATCCACCTTCTTGCCATCTATCATATCCAACTAGGTGATGACGATGATGATACATCATCAAACACAGTGTTTTCTCAGTCTCTGATCAATAGCTACTATGGAAAAAGTCAATGGAGATTCAATATTGTATTATACCACCAGCCTAACCACAGGATATTATCAAATTCCCACGACTCAATATGCTTGCTTGTATATGCAAGATAAACAGAGTGTTCTTTGGAGGACTGAGGAGTTTTTAAAGCAACAGGATTGCCTCCCTGGTATAGTTAAACTTTCTTTTACCATGGCAGACTATGACCCAGGCTGTCAGAAAAGTTCAAAAGAAAAATTGCAGAGGGAAAAAAGAATACATTTAATGTGTTAAAACTAAAAAAAAAAAATGGTTAAAGTCAAATAAATTATTGTTCATCACCTAACTAGTGTTTTAATGAAGGAACAAGAGGCAGCAGTACCATTTTTATGCTTAAGCTTGTCCCTAAATAATATTTTATTTTCACTTCAGTAGAGAAAAATATTTTTGACTTTTCAAGGACTAAGACTCCAGAATAAAAACAAGTCTTTTCTTATCCATAATGCGGAGACACAAACATTCACATGCATCAATTATACTAACCAAGATAGTTCTGCCAGCAGCCCCGTGTTTGGTTTTGGTTGGGGAACCTACTGTCAAATGGAGCTGTTTTGTAGTTGTCTATCTTGCGTCTGATGGCTTCAGACATGCTTCTTTTTTCTGAAAATAGATATGAAATCAGGAAATTGATATACCCAGGTGCTTCAAAATATTAACTATTAGAAGACACTCCCCTAGGTAAAAGATCATGTTCTATTATGGCAATGTTATCCCCAAAAGAATTTATGATTGGATTGCAGCAGCCATCTTATTCTAAGTAGAATCCTGCTTATAAATCATTAGCTGACATCCCACCCTGTTAATCCAAATGGCAAAGAAAAATATTAAAACAAAATTTTCAGACTAGTATTTGATAGGGTAGCAATGAAGGGCTTGGGAAAAAATATTCAGATGCCATGATGAGTTTGTACATACAAAGATCAGAATCATGCAGGCAATGGTTTTTCTCTGTGACAATCTATGGAAGTGAAAATTGGGATTCTGAAGAAGCAGGATAGAAAGAGTATTGATGCTTTTGAACTTTGGTGTTGGAGAAGTTTCCTGAGAATACCATGGATAACCAAGAAAACAAACAAATGGTTCATCAAAAAAATCAACCCAGAGTTCTTGCTCAAGGCACAAATGACCAGGCTCAAATTATTTGGACACATTATACAAAAACAGCTCTCTTGAGAAGTCTATAACGTTGGGAAGAGTGGAAGGAAAGAGAAGAAGAGGACGATCAGCAGCAAGGTGGATGTACTCAATTACAACAGCAAAGGGAGCACCACTGGAAGATATGAAGGGCCAGGCTGAAGACAGACCATCTTGGAAAGATCTATCAATGTAGTCACTAAGAGTCAGCATAGACCTGATGGCACATAATCAATCAATATTTCACAGGGTCTACCCAAGGCAGTAAGAGATATTCATGAATTATTCCACATCATTGACCAAGAATAAAGGCAGCATTTAAATTATCTTTAATTGGGGGAGAGGGTCACAAAACAAGTGCAATCCTGAGCAGGAATTGCTCTTGTTGGTTCATCCTAACCCAGTGCTAGTCCAACAAAGACATTGGCAATTTTGTACAGGCTGTGTTCTCTCATGGTAAATACCCCTCAAATATTTAAATTTCTTTTTAAACAGGGCAAGCCACTTCCCTTGTATGTAAGTTCTTGTCCCCCAGCTTTTAATCATAGTTGCCTTACCACAAGAATATTATCACTAGCTCCTATTATAGTACAGGTAGTCCTTGTTTAGCGACTGCCTCAGACAGTGACCATTTAGTTAGGACAGTGATGAAAAAGTAACTTTGCAACCAATGCCCACATGTATGACCTTCGCAGCATCTCTCAGTCACGGTTCACTGTTAGAGTCAATTAGTATGGTATTGCATTGTCCTCTGCCTAATCCATTTTAACCCTAACCCTAAGCAGTTTAATGAGTGAAATAAGTATTTTATCCCCTATCAATCAGCAAGATTTCTGGCTCCCAGGTGTCTTTTACTGTATATAGGTACAGTAACGAGCTGAGATTAGGAGCGCTCTCTTAAAGGGATTGCTCCTAATCTCAGCTTGTTACCTGTATAAAAGACACCTGTCCACAGAAGCAAC